ACCTTTCCCAGTGCCTTCTCAGCCCACCCAGCACTTCCCCAACCCCCTCCCAGTCACCTCCAACCTCCCTCCCATCCCACCCAGACTCGCCCAAACTCTCCCATTTGCACCCGGGACTCCATAAAAACCCTCTCAGACCTCCCAGAACCCCCCAACCTCCTCCTCAGTCTCTCCATCGCCCCCTAAAGTGCCTCCCAGTGTCCCCAGTGCTCCCCCACACCCCTGGCCCCCCTGCCACTGTCCCCCCAGTGCTGGGGGGGCCGGGCCATACCCCAGTGCCGGCTGAGGGGGTGCTCCAGGCTGACGTGCTCCACCTGGCAGGTGTAGGTGACCCCACGCCGGGGGAGGATTTCCAGCATCACCAGCACCTGGTAGGTCCAGTCCCCGTTGGGGACCACGTCGGTGGCCACCACGTGCTCCGGCAGCTCCTGCCCATCCTGGAACCACCTCACCTGCACCGGGCAGGGTAGAAATCCATCACGGAGCAGAGCAGGTGGCCGGAGCTGGGCTGGGAACTCGACGGTACCAGCAAGATGGACATGCTGGGGGGCACTGGGAGAGACGGGGGAGACACTGGGCTGAGCTGGGGGGGACTGGGATAGAGGGTGGAGGGCTTTTAGGACATTGGTAGGGGTTTGAGTGGCACTGGGAGGGACTGGGATGGCACTAGGGGGGATTGGGAATGGACTGGGGTAGAAGGAGAGGAAACTCTGCGCTGTGGGTCTGCCCGGCATCTGATGAGTCATCAGAGAGACGCGCTCTGATTGGCTGAGAGGAGGGAGAGCGGTGACACCAACGGGGTGGAGAGGCGGGGGGGCACTGGGATGGACTGGGATGGACTGGGGATACTGGGAGGGACTGAGATGGACTGAGTGGCACTGGGAAAAACTGGGATGGATCGCAGTGGAATAAGGGGCAATGGGAGAGGCTGGGATTGATTCGGAGCACTGGGATGGGGAAAAAGACGACGGGGATGGGCACAGGGAGGGCTGAGGGGTCTGGGGTGATTCCCAGGGAGGGTTCGAGGGGCTCCAGGGTCGTTCCCGGGGCAGGGGAATTCCCGAGGGCACCCACTCTGCCCCGTGCTCACCTCTCCTCTCTACGCTGAACGGGGCATCAATCTCGTAGTTGTGCCGGTAGTACCTGTCGACCTGAGCCCGTTTGTACTCCAGCCATTCTGGTTTGCTGTTCCAGTACCTGTGTCCCCCACATAGACCCCCACATCGCTGTGGAAGTGGGCGAACTGCTCCCGGTTGTAGATGTACCTGTCCACGAACCTCACCCACTCGGTGCCGTTGATGAAGTGACACTCGGCCTTTCTCAACTTCTGGAACACCCCTGTGTGTGCAGGACACGGGTCAGGGGATGGCCCGTCCCCCCCATCAGCCCCGACCCCCCCTCAGCAGGTCGGGAGCTCAGGGGATCACCCTTGACCCCCCTTTCCTATCCTCCTCTTCCGCAGCACCGGCTCTTGGCTGGGGGGGATCCTCCCCATCAGCACCCCAGGGATGGACAGGCGGGTTGGGGATCCCTCAGTGTGGATCCGACCCCACTCCCCGAGCCCCAGGGAACCTCTGCAGGGCTCCACTGATGGGGGACACCGAGGGACCCCCATGGCACCTCTCTTCCTGCTCTCCCACCCTCCTGTCCCACCCCTTTCCCACCGTCCCCCCGATCCCCAGACCCCCGTCTTGCTCAGTTTGGGGCTCCCGCTCCCCTCCCATTAATTCCAGGGGTTCCAACCCCCCTCTCGTGCTCACTTTTGGGGCTCCCATCCCCTCTTTTCTCTCCTCTTTCCCCCCTTCCCGCCCCCCCGCTCAGCCGAGAGTTCCTCGCCCGCAGCCGGGGGGGCTCCCAGCACCATCAGTACCACCAGTACCGGTCCCAGCTCCACGCACACGCTCTATCCCCAGCGCCGGGCAGGGGCTGACACCCCAAAACCAGTCGGGTGGGGCCGTTTTGGGGGGTTTTGGACGCGTTCTGATTGGCTGAGCGCAAAGTCCGAGGCCCGTTTAGCGTCGCGTCTTCCCGGCAACTGATGAGTCATTAGCAGTGCGCACTCTGATTGGCCACAGCTGCGTAGGCGCTTTCTGATTGGCTGAGGCCGTTGGGGGCGCTGCAGCCCCGGGGGTGGGGGGTTCTGGGGGGTCCGTGGGGTGGACCCGGTTGGGAACAACCCCCGATCTCCCCCCGGGGCCCGAGGGCGGAGCGGACCCGGTTGGGAACACCCCGCTCGTCTCCACCGCTGCAGCCGCTGCCCCTGCTCCGGCTGCCGCCGCTCGGCCCCGGCCGGTCCCGCGGGCGTCGCCGCTCCTGGCGCGGCTGGAGGGGTCGGGCCGGGCCGCGCCCGCTGTTCCAGTCCGGTCAGGGGCTGCCACGGGGTTCTTTAGAGGTTCTCGCTTCGAGGGTGAGACTAAGGCACAAAACTCCAGGTGTTAGGTCTCCAACAGACCATTTGCTTTATTGGTAACAACAAGTAAAAGGGGAAAAGCGGGGGGTGGGGAGGAGAGAGAGAGAGAAGGAAAAGGAAAGGATGCAAAAGGAAAATGCTAAAAGTTACCAGCACCAGTGAGAGAAGCGGGTGTAGTCAGCCTCAGGCAGTCAGGGAAGGGCCGCTAGAGGGAAGCAGGGGGTGAGCAGACTGGATCTGAGACAACCAGCAGACGCAGGCAGGTGGGACACGAGCAGGACAGAGCGAGCAGTGGGGCCCGCAGCCAGCACGGGACCCTGGGCAACACCGCCTGCATTGGACCGGACCCTCGGGCAACGCTGGGCACTGCCTTAAACACCCCCCGGTGGGCGCTCAGCGGCCAGCTTGGCTCCAGGTAGAGTTTTGCAGGGTGTCGGGGGTTGAGCTGCTGGTATCCAGGCAGGCTGGCTCTGCCAAGGTGGGAAAATGGACCAGCTTTGTGTTGGAGACTCTCTGACACCCGCCCGTCGCTCCGGGCTGCTCCTCCGGTGACATGGGCCGTCAGCTTTTTATTCTATTTATTTTATTATATTCTCTGTACTTTATTCGATCCCCACCCCACCCGTCCCTCGGGGCCGCACTTCCAGTGGACGGGGCAGCAGAGGCCCCTCGGGGCATTCATCGCTCCCTCACACCCCCCGGGGCCATCCCGGTGCTCCCTCGGTGCAGCTCTGTTAGGTACCAGGCGGCAGAAACCCCTCGGCACAGGTATTTTATTCCATTTATTTTATTCTCTATATTTCATTCTATTTACACCAGGCAGGTCCTGCCCTGCAGCTCTTTCAGTGACACGGAGGATCTTTCCTCCTGTTTTTTGGAGTCACCTCCCAGGACCTCAGTGCCGAGCAAGGCTCTTGGTTTGGTTTCATTGGGTTTACGGATTTGTTGGATTCTGGTATTTATTTGTATATTGTATTTATTTTCTTGTTGTTATGTGTTTATTTCTACAGCTTATTTATTCCTTGTTTGTCTATATATTTTATTTATTTATCTATTTCTTTAATAGTATTTATTTTTATCTGTTTATATATTAATTATTTGTTTCTTTATTTCTATAATTTATTTGGTTGTTTTATATAATTTTGTCAAATCATTTATCTACTTGTTTTTTTATTTGCTTATATAATTAATCTATTTTTAAATTTCAATTGCGTATAATGTTTCAATTGTTTTATAATTTTCAATTTTTTATGTAATTTTATTTAATCATATAATTTTATTGGTTAGCATATATAATTTCATTCATATGTTTATATAAGTTTATTTGCTTATCTTATATTAATATATTATATTTGTTTATATAATTTAATGTATTTGTATCTAATTATTTGTTCTATAGTTTTAAAAATTTCTTTATGTAATTTTATTTATTTGGTCATATTTTATTTATTAGTATGCATAATTCAATTCATTTTTATACAATTTTATTTTATTAATTTTCATATGTCTACATAGTTTTATTTAATTGATTAATTGTAACTGTTAGCTTATTTAATTTTATTTAATTGATTTTAGTTATTTGTTTATATAACTAATTCTTAGGGTATATAATTTGATTTATTCAATTATATAATTTGATTTATCAGCATAAATAATCGAATGTCTTTGTTTATATATATTTAATTATATAAGTTGATTTATCTGTTTATATAATTTGATTGAATTGTATATATAATTTTGTTTCTTTGAATATATAATTTTATTTACTTATTTAAATAGTTATATTTATTTGTTTAATTTAACCATTAATTATAATTAATTTCTTTATTTACTTGTAATTATTTTTATATAATTTTAATTATTAGCATATATAACTTCATCTATTGATTTATATAATATGATTTATTGGCATATATAATCTGTTTTTTTGTTGATATAATTTAATTAATTGTTTACTTTATTTCTGTAATTCAATTTATTTATTTGTATAATTGGTTTTATCCATTTATATAATTTTATTTAATTACACATAGAAATTTGTTTCTTTGAATATATAATTTGATGTATTTCTTGATATCTTTTTATTTCTTTCCTTTCAATCCTCATTCTTCCCTTTTCCCAGTCAGGGCCTCTCTGGTTCCTGGGCCATGTCCGGGGGGTCATTAAAGCTGATTCTGGAGAGGATTGCCTGGTTCACAGGGACAGCCCCAAAGGCCACCTTTCCTTTTCCCTTTTCCCTTTTCCCTTTTCCCTTTTCCCTTTTCCTTTTCCCTTCCCCTTTCCCAGATGGAAAAGGCCAGGAAGGCTCCAGAGGAGCCTCCCCTGTGGCAGTTGGTTTTCCAGCAGGGACGGAGATCCGGCAGTTTTGCCAAAAGGAACATCAGGATTAATTCCCAGAATAGGGAAATATTGACCAGAGGGAAGTTCAAACCCATATTTACTCCGAGTTTCCCTAAATCCAAGTGTTTGCAGGGAGTGAAATGCTGAGTGCTGACCCACAGATTCCCAGGGCCAGTGATTCTCCAAACCTGGTGTCTTTAACAAGTTTAACAAGATTAAAACTTAGAAATGAAGACACTTCAGGTGGAAGTGTAGGAAAGGAAAAGAAACAGCTTTTTATCCCCAAAAGATGAACAAACAACAAACGGTGCCACCAAAACCTTTCCGAAGAAACCAAACCAAGTCCCAAATGCCCAGGTGGGGGGGAAAACCCACGGCGAGCCAGGCAGGGGGCAGGGGAAAGGCAGGGCTGTGCCGGCAGGTCAAAGCTCTCGCAGCCACGTGTGCTCGCAGCCAGCCTGGAAAGGGCCTTTGGTCCCCCAGGCAGTCCCAAAGCAGAACCCCTCGCTCCGAGATGGGTCGGTCTCTCTCTCTCTCGCTCGTCCCATGCGAGGTGTCCCGCGGGAAAACAAAATGTCCTCTCAGGGCAAGAGAAAGAGGCGGCCGAAAACCGGGCTCTGCTCCGTGCAGAGCCCCGAACAAAGGACTCCCCACCTTCCCCGCGGCCACCGCGGTGTCCCCAGAGCTGCCCTGTCCCCACTGCCGCTGCCCAGCGCCTGCGGCTCCGCCCCCACCCCATCCCGGGATACACAGATGGGGGAATGGGGGGCGGCATTGGGAAAACATTCCAGCAGCTCTTTGCAAACCTGACACCTGGTTCCCAGACATTCCCAAAGAAGCCGTGGCCTCGAGCGAGGGACCGACCTTTGTATTGAACCAGCTCCTGGAGAGACACCTTCCCATCCCTGTCCCTATTCCCATTCCTGGGGTTCCCATCCCTGTCCCCATTCCCATTCCTGGTGTCCCCATCCCTGTCCCAATTCCTACTCCTGGTGTTCCCATCCCTGTCCCCATTCCCACTCCCTGGTGTCTCCAACCTGCTCCCAGTGTCCCCATTCCCCCATCCTCATTCCCATTCCTGGTTCCCAGAGAGGAACTGCCAGGTGCTGGAGGAGGGAACCAGGATTTACTGCCCAAAGCAGGAGATTTTCCCACCACATTTAAAGCTTCAGCAATAATTGTGCTTCTGGGTTTCACACATGGAAAAGCAGGAAGTTGATCCATCAGGAAGAGTCGCAGGGGGTCAGGCTGGGTGGGAGCAGCAGGATGAGCTCTGCCAGCAGCTCCTGCCTTTCCGCAGGGAGAGGGAAGGGGCGGATCCAGCTCCATGATCGCTCAGACTGTGATTCCTGCCAGGATGAGAGAGGGGAAAGGAGTCCCCATGTCCCTGTTCCCATCCCAGGGGATGGATCCGGCTGGGGAGCCCATGGAGAGCAGCAACTGCTCCGAATTCCCTCCTGATCCTGCTCCATCCATCCCACCCCAATCCCACTCCAGAATCCAGCCCTGATCCCAGCCCACAATTCCACCTGATCCCACTGTGCAATCCTGCCCTGAGCTGGAATCCCGTTCCAATCCCCCTCCATCCATTATGCCCTGATTCCCCTCTGGAATCCCAAAATCCATCCTGGCATCCCTGCAGGGAGGATCTGGATCCAACCACGCTGCTGGTACTCACTGGTGGGTGCGGGGTCGTATCCATTGCCCTCCCTCTTCCCTATGGAAAGAAAGCGGGATCAGCACCCATGGCACAGGATCCCCGGAATGCTGCCGGGCGGATCCGGGCCCCTTCCCGACCCCCATCCCGTGAGTTACTGGCTCAGAGCTTCCAGAGACCAACTGTGATGAGGCCGATGATGACGATGACGGCAGCGATGACGGACACAGCGACCAACACCGGGGTGGAATTCCAGATGGATTCCGGCTCTGGGAAGGGTGGGAGGGTGAGCAGGGGGAGAGTTACCCCCTTCCCACTGCCCCACACTCCCAAATTCCTCGTTCCCACATGCCCAGTTGCCACATTGCCTGTTCCCAGGCTCACCCCAGGCGAAGATCCCAGGCTCCGGCATTCCAGCGTGCTCCACCCGGCACCGGTACTGCTCCCGTTCCCCCGGCAGCGCCTCGATCCTGGCCCAGCTGTGGAAGGTGCCGTTGCTGTTGGGAACGATCCCGCCCCACTCCGTCTCCTGATCCCAGATTTCATCCCCCTTCATCCAGTTGATCCCGATGATCCCAGGGTAGAATCCGTACACGTGGCAGGACAATGTCAGGACCCTATGTTCCTCTTTCCCAGAAACGTGGACATCAGGGGGCTCTGGAGTGGGATAAGGGTGAGATCTATCCACGGAATTCCCATGAGAATGGGACTGGAGTGAGATCCATCCACAGAATTCCCATTGGAATGAGACAACAGTGTGATCCATGTATGGAATTCCCATGGGAGTTGGATGACTAAGATTCATCCATGGAATTCCCATGGGAATTCCCACATTCCTCAGTTCCACCCTCCCAAATCCCACATTCCCAAATCCCGCATTGCCATGGGAATTCTGTCTCCCTCACCTTTGCGCTCCAGCACCTCCCGCCCATATACAACGTATTTCCGGAGCCATTCTGGACAGATGTTCCCCAGGTAATGTGTCCGTCTCTCCACCTCGATCCCATCGTGTTCCCATTTCCTCTTGGTGATCTGGGCAGCTCCATCGGCCGCCACGAAGCTCCTGGATCCCAGCTCAAAGGAGAGGAAATCCTGCTCGTCGTAGCCTTGCTGATAGTATCCACGGACGCTCCCGTCAGACAGGAGGTCACAGCCATGAAGCTGCTGCCACGTGTGGAGACCTGGGGGGTGGGATTAGACCTATGGAGACTCCTGGAATTGTGTCCCAGCCCCACGGAGCCCCATTCCAGCCCTATGGAGCCCCAGAGTCCCATGGAGACACACAGAGCCTCATCCCAGCCCCTTGGAGTGCCCTGGATCCCCATCCCAGCCCCACACATCCCATCCTGGCCCCACAGATCCCATCCCAGCCCCACACATCCCCCATTCCCTGGCTCCCCCCACTCACCCCCACTCCAGTTGTACCGATTCCGCCCTACTTCCAGGTTGTTGGCAGCCACGATCCGGTTCCTCTCGCCGATCTGGGTCTGTCCATCCCAATATTCCGGCTCAAGTTCAGCTGCCATCCACGGCGTCAGCGGCTCCGTCCGGCGCCGTTCGCTGTCATAGCGGCTGATGGGGATCCCATCCACGTATCCCAGGGCCATGAATTGAGGGATCCCTGGGCTGGGCTCCGTCACCGCCACGTGCAGGTAACGCAGGGAGTGGAGAACTGGAGGGACATGGAGATTTGGGGGGTCCAGGGGGGTCATGGGTCAAGGAAAGGGGGAACTGGGAGAGCTGGGAGAGCCAGGAAGGGGGTTTGGGGATCCCAGGGCCAAGGAAAGGAGGGAGTAGGGACTGGGAGAGGTGGGATGGGGCATCCAGGGGTCCCTGTGCCCAGGAAAGGGAGACCCGGGGGCCTCAGTGTTGGGGAAAGAGGGGTCATGGGGTGAGGAGACCCAGAATGGCAAGGAAAAGGGGTACAGGGGGGTGTTGGTGCAGGATAAGGAGGTGCAGGGTGGTCGTGGTGCTGGTGAAGGGGGTCCAAGAGGTCCCTGAGTCAAGAAAAGGAGGGTCCAGAGATCCCCAGTGTTGAGGAAATGGGGGGTCACAGGATGAGAAGACAGAGGGTGTCTGGGAATGGGGGTCCTGGAAGTCCTCAGTGTAGAGCAAAGGGGGGCTGGGGGCTGGGAAAGGCAGGAATGGGGGTCCAGGAGGAGTCAGGGTCAAGGAAAAGGGGGTCTGGGAGAGGCAGGATGGCTGGGAAAGGGGGTGCAGGGGAGTGTTGGTGCAGGATAAGGGGGTTCAGTTGGGTCCTGGAACTGGGGATGGGGGTCCAGGGGTGTCTCAGTGCCCAGGAATGGGGGCCCTTGGGGGTCCCAGTGCTGGATCAGGGGGTGCCAGGGGATCCTCGTGCCTGGAAATGGAGGTTCAGGGGGATCCCTGTGCCCAGGAATGGGGTTCAGGGGAGTCTTTGCCCAGGAATGGGGTTCAGGGGAGTCCCTGCCCAGGAATGGGGTTCAGGGGGTCCCAGTGCCAGGAAATGGAGGTTTAAGGGGTCCCTGTGCCCAGGAAAGGGGGGTCCAGTGGTCCCCAGTGTTAAGGAAATTCGAGTCTGGGGGATGGGAAAGGCAGGAATGGGAATCCAGGGGATCCCACGGTCAAGCAAAAGAGAGGATCAGGGGGCTGGGAGAGGCGGGATTGCCAGGAAAAGGGGCTCGGGGGGGTATTTGCTGAGAATAAGGGGGTTCAGAGGGGTCCTGGAGCCGGTATGCAGATTCAGGGGGTCCTGGTGCAAGGTAATGGGGTGCAGGGGGATCCCTGTGCCTGGAATGGGGGTACGGGGGGGTTCCCGTTCCCAGGAATGGATGTCCAGGGGGTCACTGCAACCAGGAATGGGAGTTCAGGGGTGTCCTGGTGCTGGATAAGGGAGGTTCAGGAGGGTCTGAGTGCCGAAAAGTGGAGGTTCAGGGGGGTCCCTGTGCTCGGGAATGGAAACTGGGGGGTCCCGGTGCAAGACAAGGAAGTTTCAGGGCGTCCCGGTGCTGAGGGAGAGGGTGCAGGGGGTCCCGGTGCCCGGAAATGGAAGTTCAGGGGGTCCCGGTGCCCAAAAATGGGTGTTCAGGGGGGTCCCGGTTCCCGGGAATGGGTGTTCAGGGGGTTCCCGTGCCCAGCAATGGGGGTTCAGGGGGTCCCGGTGCTGAGGGAGAGGGTGCGGGGGGGTCCCGGTGCCCGGTAATGGAGGTTCAGGGAAGTGCCGGGGCCCGGCAATCAAAGTGGCCGAGGTGCCTGTTGTGGGGGTCCCACTTACCCTTCGGCTGCCCCCCCGAGCCCCCCGGCAGCGCCAGGAGCACCAGGAGCGCCCCCAGCCCCAGCGCTGGAGCCATCGCGCTGCTTGGCGCAGTTTGGGAGATGGAAAGCGAAAGTGCCCGAGGGAGCGCGGGGGGCGGGCACGGGGGAACTGCCGGGAATTGCCCGCGATCCCCTTCGGGACCCCTCCCGGCACCGCCCCGGGTCCCCCCACCACCCACGGGCACCCGTGACGGGCACGAATCGCGGCACCCCCGGGTCGGGCCGAGCTGAACCCGAGGGGTGCAGGGGGGTCCCGGAGCTGGGGAAGGAGATGCGGGGGGGTCTCAGAACGGGGATTCAAGGGGGGCCCGGGCTCAAGGGAAAGGGGTTGCAGGGGCTGGGAGAGATGGGATGGAGGTTCAGGGAGTCCCTGTGCCCAGGAAAGGATGTCCCAGGGGTTGCCAGTGTTGAGGAAAGGCGGCTCTGGGGGCTGGGAAAGGCAGGAATGGGGGTCCAGGGGTCTAAGGGTCAAGGAAAAGCTGAGTCTGGGGTCTGGGAGGGGCGGGACGGCTGGATTGGAGGTTCAGGGGGGTCTTGCTGCCACATAGGGGAGTGTAGGAAGGTCCCCATGCGCGGGAATAGGGGTTCAGGGGTGTCCCAGTTCCCAGGAAGGGGGGTCCTGGAGAGTCCCAGTGCTGGATCAGGGGGTGCAGGGGGATCCCCGTGCCTGGAAATGGAGGTTCAGGGGATCCCCGTGTGCAGAAATTGGTGTTCAGGGGCGTTCCCTTCCCAGGAAGGGGGTTCAGGGGGACTCCCAGTCCCGGGAATGGGGGTTCATGGGGTCCTGGTGCTGGATAAGAGCATTTAGGGAAATCCGGGTGTTGGGGGAGGATGTGCAGGAGGGTCCCAGTGCCCAGGAATGGAAGTTCAGGGGGGTCTCAGTGCCAGGAATGGAAGTTCAGGGGGTCCCTTCCCAGGAATGGGGTTCAGGGGGTCCCTGTGCCAGGCAATGAGAGTTCAGTGGGGTCCCTGTGCCCAGGAATTGCTGTCGAGGGCGTTCCCGGTGCCTGGGACCCCCCTGCAGGAAGCACAGGGAGGGGAGAACTGGGGAGGTCACAGAGATTGGTGGGTCTGGGGGGCCCAAGGGTCAAGGAAGAGGAACTGGGAGAGCTGGGAGAGCCGGGAAGGGTCCAAGGGTCAAGGAAAGGGGGGGCTTGGACTGGGAGAGGTGGGATAGGGGATCCAGGGGGTCCCTGTGCCCAGGAAAGGGGAATCCAGTGGTCCCCCGTGTTGAGGAAGGTGGAGTCTGGGGGTTGGGAAAGGCAGGAATGGGGCTCCAGGAGGTCCCAGGGTGAAGGAAAAGGGAGGATCAGGGGGCTGGGAGAGGCAGGATTGCCAGGAAAAGGGGCCCCGGGGGGTATTTGTTAAGGATAAGGGGGTTCAGAGGGGTCCTGGAGCCGGGGATGGGGGTGTAAGGGGTCCTACTGCAGGGGTCCTAGTGCCAGGAATGGGGGTCCAGGGGTGTCACTGTGACAGATTAGGGGGTGCAGAGGGATCCCTGTGCCAGGAATGGGGGTCCATACACGGAAATGGGGGTTCAGGGGGGTCTTTGTGTTGGAAAAGGAGGTTTAGGGGGTCCCAGCTCTGTGGAATGGGGTGCAGGAGGGGGTCCAAGTGCCCAGGAATGGAGGTGGGGGGGATTCCCGTGCCTGGGAATGGGGATTCAGGGGTGTAATGAGTAGTAGTGGTTTAATTTACTCATCAAATTAGTAATAGAGGCTTACTCATGAAACTGTAGTGCATGTTGTATTCTTTTATATATATGTCATTATAATCACTGTTCTGTTACGGGTAAGAAACTGTAAGTTGTAGAATGGCTCATTAATCTATGCTGAAAAAGCATGAAGTTTGCAGTTCTAAAGCTAGAAAGACAAACCATTGTGCCTTATTAAGTAAATATTTTTGTATCTTATTTTTCTAAAAAGCTTATTGTCTCACAACACGCATAAAGTAAAGAAAGAAAGGACAAGGATTGAAGAGTCAAGAATTGAAACAATACAGAATATCCAAGATGGACATCTGGAGATGCCTGCACACTAGGCCTCAAGGTCTAGGGACTGATTGGAACTATGGGAGGAGAAAGCACCTGGTAACCAAAGCGAGAATGCAGAGAGGCCAACCAGAATCAGACCTGCAAAGCTCAGATCCAATAGAAAAACAACAAGTGACAATGGGAGGGAAACCAATAAGGGAATAAAAGTTACTGTTTTTGTTCACTGCACTTGTGCGCCGTGAGTGGAGCAGGAGACTCCCCGGCCGCCCAGCATGCTGTTTTGCTTATTTGCATTTTCTATAAATCTTCAATAAATTTTTATTACTATATTTCAACTCAGTTTCATTTTACTTATAACAATTTCTGGTGCCGTGACTCGGATCAGGGTTCCTGGGTAGTGGGACCCCCCTCTGGGGCAGGCACCCCATCATTTTTTTGGATGGTCCTGGAGGGGGTCCTGTAGCACAGACTCTGAAATGCCGACCAAAAAGATTTAGAAAAAGCAAATAAGCAAATAAACCACTGCAGTGCCCTGTAATTTATGTGCACATACCCGGGCAAAGACTCACTGGGGAGAGAAGTGAGTAATAAACCCTCTTCAGTCGGGAAGGGGGTCCGTTCGGCAGGGGTCCAAAAATGGGGACTTACTCCAGGAGAGACTAAGGGTATCAGTACCGTCTGGTTGAAGAGGGACCGTCCAGCGAGGAGTTGGACGAAGACTTACCCAGGGAGAGGTAAGTATTTTGCGGAACACCCTTTCGGTTGGGAGGGGGCCCCGGAGTGCGAATAACCTTAGCCTCCAACTCTCCTGTGCATTTGATGAGCCACCCTTGACACTCCATGTACACATGAAGCTTTCTGCGCTGGCAACTTTTGTGTAGGAGGAATCTTCGTTCTTAGTCCATCTGGGGACCCAGACGCATCATTTCAGCGCGTGACTTCAAACATTAAACCTATAAAGTTCCATCCAGGAAAAAAAGGCCTTAGCCTCCAACTGATCTGTGCAGTTGGTAAGGCTCTCTTGGTACTCCATGCACATAAGGAACTCCCTGCGCTGGCCCCTTTTGTGTGAGTGGAATCTTCGTTCTTAGTCCACCTGGGGACGAAGATGGGCCAATACAGCGTGGGGCTTGGACAGCAAGCCAATGAATTTCCAGGTAGGAAAGAAAACCCTTAGCGTCCAACTGCCCTGTGCATTTGATGAGCCACCCTCGCACTCTATACACTCACTGAGCTTTCTGCACTTGCGGCTTTTTTCTAGGATGAATCTTCATTCTTAGTCCATCTGGGGACCCAGACGGGCCATTTCAGCGCGTGACTTGAAACATCAAACCAATGACCTTCCAGCCAGGAAAAAAAGCCCTTAGCGTCCAACTGCCCTGTGCAATGGGTGAACCACCCTTGACACTCCATGCACACATGGAACTTCCTGCGCTGGCACCTTTTGTCTGGGTGGAATCTTGGTTCTTAATCCAACTGGAGACCAAGACAAGCCATTTCAGCGTGGGGTTTGGGAGACCAAACCAATGAAGTTCCATCCAGGAAAAAAAGCCTTTAGCCTCTAACTCTTCCATGAAATGGGTGAGCCACTTGTGGCACTCCATACACACATGGAACTTCCTGCGCTGGCACCTCTTGTCTTGGAGGAATCTTCGTTCTTAGTCCATCTGGGGACCCAGACGGGCCATTTCAGCGTTGGGCTTCGGACACCAAAAGAATTAAGTTCCGTCCAGGAACAAAATACCTTAGCCTCCAAGTCTCCAGTGCAGTTGACGAGGCACCCTTGGCACTCCATGCACACGTGGAACTTCCTGCACTGCTACCTTTTGTCTGGGTGGAATCTTGGTTCTTAGTCCAACTGGGGACCAAGACAAGCCATTTCAGCTTGGGGCTTGGACCCCAAACCAATGAAGTTCTATGCAGGAAAAAAGCCTTTAGCCTCCAACGCTGCTGTGGAATTGTTGAACCACTTTTGGAACTCCAAGTACACATGAAGCTTTCAGCGCTGGCAACTTTTGTGTGGGAGTAATCTTCATTCTTAATCCATCTGGGGACCGAGATGGGCCATTTCAGCATTGGGCTTCAGACACCAAACCAATGAATTTCCAGGTAGAAAAGAAAGCTTTTAGCCTCCAACTCTCCTGTGCATTTGATGAGTCACCCTTGGCACTCTATACACTCACAGAGCTGTCTGCACTTGCGGCTTTTTTCTAGGATGAATCTTCGTTAATAGCCCATCTGGGGACCCAGACGCGACATTTCAGCGCGTGACTTCAAACATTAAACCTATGAAGTTCCATCCAGGAAAAAAAGACCTTAGCCTCCAACTGATCTGTGCAGTTGGTGAGGCACTCTTGACACTCCATGCACACATGGAGCTTCCTGCGCTGGCACCTTTTGTCTGTGAGGAATCTTCGTTCTTAGCCCATGTGGGGTCCAGACGGGCCATTTGAGCGCCGGGCTTTGGACACCAAACGAATTAAGTTCCAACCAGGAAAAAAAGGCCTTAGCCTCCAAGTCTCCTGTGCAGTTGGTGAGACAACCTTGGCATTCCATGCACACATGGAACTTCCTGCGCTGGCTCCTTTTGTCTGGGTGGAATCTTCGTTCTTAGTCCATCTGGGGACTAAGACAAGCCATATCAGCGTGGGGCTTGGGACCCCAAACCAATGAAGTTCCAGCCAGGAAAAAAAGCCTTTAGCCTGCAACTCTGCTGTGAAATGCGTGAACCACTTGTGGCACTCCATGCACACATGGAGCTTCCTACGCTGGCACCTTTTTTTGTGGGTGGAGTCTTCGTTCTTAGCCTATGTGAGGCCCAGACGGACCATTTCAGCGCGGGACTTTGGAGACCAAACGAATTAGGTTCCATCCAGGAAAAAAAGGCCTTTGTCTCCTGTGCAGCTGATGAGGTACCCTTGCCACTCCATGCCCACATGAAACTTCCTGCACTTTCACCTTTTGTGTGGGAGGAATCTTCGTTCTTAGTCCATCTCGGGACGCAGAGAGCTTATTTCAGCGTTGGGCTTCGGACACCAAACCAATGAATTCCCAGGTAGGAAAGAAAGCCCTTAGCCTCC